GCCAGAGTGCAGGGATGCAGGGTCAGTCTCTCAGGTAGGTGTTTTGGGGGGTGAGCCCCCAGCACGTGGCTGGCACAGGGCGGAGCTCAGCCCCTGGTCTGCTCAGAGCTCCCTAGGCCTCGGCTTGGGGTGGTTTGGGGACTGGGTTTGGGGCACCAACATCCCTGGAGGGGTGGGAATAGAGTGGTGCCGCCCTTCTCTCTGCAGCGGGTGCATGTGGGTCCCTCAGTTCTGACCCTCCCTGGTGCCACCTCGTGTCTGTTGGGATCCCATCAGCTGGGACAGAGCTGGGGCCATGCTTCTGCTTGTCCCTGCCTGGGGGCCTCCTGGTGGGTGGGTCTGTCTGTCCCCATTCCTTCTCCTCCCAAGACCCCTGCCATGGACCCCTGCCCACCACCTCACCCACCTTCTGCTCCCTCAGGACCTGCTCTCTCTCTTGGAGGCTCTGCTCCCACCGCAGCCCCGGGACTGACCCAGACAAGCCCCTGCTCACCACAATGGACAGTCCAGATGCCAGCAGCTGGAGAGATGCCTTTCCTTCCCCTCAGACACTGGGAAGAAGGGGAACACCCTCCCCCCCCCTCTGCGTTCCTTGTGTGAGTTGGAGCTGAGCTGGACCTTTTGGGGCAGCTGTGACTGGACTGAAATAAACCCTTTTGCCCCCTCTGAGTGTCACCCTGTGGCTGCTGGCAGAGCAGGGGATGTGGGCAGGGGGCACAGGGTGAGGGGCAGGTTGCCCAGGCCACCATCCTGGCTCTCTGGGAGTGGCTTTGGGGCAGGGGGTGGCTGAGTGGGACAGTCCAACTCTGCAGTGGGACCAGCCATGAGTGCCTGGCATGGAGAAGCCAGGGGTTCTGACATGGATCCAGGGGCTGGGGACCTCAGCCCATGGCTGCTGAGGGGGCTGCAGAACATCTGGGAAAGACAATGAGGGGAGACGTCGGGAGAGACACCCACACCCGGGGGCCTGTCCCCCGGCTAGGAGATGTAGAGGTCACCAGCACCCTTCAGATCTGGGGCTCACTGCAAGCTGAGCATCATCTGCTCACCCCTCCCACCCTGCGCTGGTGCCAGTGAAGCCCCTCCCCTCCCAAGCACAGGGTGAAATGGGGGAATTTGGGGCTCAGCAACGAGGGAAGGACTCAGGATGGGGGACTGGGGTGCCCCCATCGGGCTGGAAATCCAGCAGGGGGAGGGGAGTGTGGGGGGGTGCATATGGGGCCCTGCTGCCCCCTGGCTGCCTGGGGGTGGGGGGGCCCATGGCTGGCTGCATCTGAAGGGACCCTTACAAGGGAACCCAGTGGGGCCTGGCAGCTGGGTGCTAATAGCCAGGGGCCTTGTCCCCCGGGGGGTTCGGAGGCAGGGGATCTGCAGGGCTAATGAGCCCCACTTAGCTGTGAAATGACTTGCTAATAATATTAATTCCCTCAGCTGGGGGGGTGTGAAGCCTTTGAGATGCAAAGCAGCCTCCCCTGCCCTCCTCCAGGCTGCAGCCCCCCACCCCGGCCGGGACTCAGGGGACTTGGGGACACGTGGGGACACTCTCTGGACACAGGGAGCCAGGCGGGGTTGGAGGGTTTGGGATGGGATTTGAGATGAGCCCCTGAGATAGTGGGAGCAGGAAGGGGGCACAGAGCCACCTGCTGGGGTGGGGGCACAACTGAGGGGCAGGGCTGCGTGTGCATGTCTGCACATGTGGGTGTGCACTGATGGGGATGGCATCTGGGTCTGTGTGCGTGTGAGCATGGTGCACACTTACGTGTGTGTGTGAGCACGGTGCACCATTCCCCGTGTGTGTGGGTGGGTGAAGGCCAAAGCTGCTCTGAGCTGCCTCAAGGACCAGCCCGACCCACCAAGGGCATTCGTCCCACCAGTGGCCCCTGACAGCGGTGGTGGCTGTTGGTGCTGGTGTGAAGGGGTGCCTGCTTCTCTCCCTCCTACCTGCCTTGCTCCCCTCTCCCTGCCACTTTCCCCTTTTCTCCTCTCCCTGCCCCTCTCGCCCCCTTTCCCAGCCCTCCCGGCTCGGGGCAGGTGCAGGAGCCCTCGGCACAGAGACCCAGCAGCATGGCAGGGCTGAGCGGTGCTGAGCAGGACACCTTGGCTGCAGGTGAGCTGGGTGGGGAGAGCGGGTGCCTGGTCCCCTGGGTACTCTGGCATTGGGCTGGGAGGGTCTCCATCCCCGTGCAGGACCAGGAGGGATGCTCAGGGGGGGATGGATGGGGTAGGTGGTGGTTTGGGGGTTAGATGAGACCATCTCCCCCCACCCTGCTGGTGCCAAAGAACCCCCGCAGCTCTATGGGGCTTGGGGGGCTCAAGGAGAGAAGTGGGACTGCAGAGAGTGGCTGAAGAGGGGAATGAAGTGAGCTGGGGTGGGGACTCTGCTGCGGGAGCAGGGCTCCAGGGGATGGGGTCTCCTACGCTGAGCGTGATCTGCCCCTCCTGAGCCCCCCACCCCAGGGCCCTCTCCA